CATATAAACTCATAATTCAAGTACTAAATTATTAACTTTGGCTATTGGGAATAATTTAAGAACATTATTTCAATGATTTAAAGGATTTTAAAATAGTTTAGTATTGTTGTAATATATGTTGCTTGGGTATTAATTGAGCAATTGTTGTTCTGTCTAGGAGAGGACTTCGTAGAGGGTGACTTCTAGCCTTAAAGTGGCCAATCAATTTGCGTACTCAAGGTACGTACAAGTATGCGAAGAACATTGACTTTAGAAGCATGTTTAAGGACTTGGAAAGACCTAAAATCATGTTAGGAGACTTGTGGATTGGTTGAAATTGTTTGGTAATAAGTTGATTGTTGATAAATGTGATGATTGCTTTAATTCATGTATGAGAAATTGCATTGATGTTTCCTATTGAGCATTATTTATGCAATATTTTGCAAGGAGAGCTTAGAAGCAAAACTACAAGTATATATATGGAATGAATCATTTTAATTACTTATTCATCTGTATTGAAATGGAACGAGTAAAGGTAGAGTTAAAGTCTTATAAGACAAGATTGTAGATATGAGGTGCCTTATGCACTTAAGGTGTTTATACACCGAGGTAGTTAAAGGATTCAATAATAAATGTTGTTTGTCACTAATAAATTAAGAATTAAATTGGAAACTTGAATGATTTGAATGATCGATGTATGATTGGTTGTGTTGTTTGCATATGAGTCATCACCAAATTTAAACTTGTAAATCACGTAAAGTGCAAGAAGGATGAGCAATAAAACTCTGGATTTGTGCACATCTAGAGTAATGACAAACAGGGGTTAGGGTTCACGGGGTATTAGCCGTGCACTTTTCAGAGGCCGTCTGATCTACGAGTCTCTTGTTTTAAATTATTTTAAAATTATAATGAGTTAGATGAGATCTCATACTAGCTATGGCCACGGAGTCGCGCCCGTCTGCCATTGGATGTTTATTAATGTCTTCCGAAAGGAGGCATATGGTTTTCTTATTTAATGTTCCGGAATGGAGCACAGGGGGACAACCTGGTCTATTGCTTAATCCAATTAAATTAATGAGGTGATCAATACTATTTAGAGAAACTTTGTAATAAGTAACAGTTGAATCATGTGTTCGAGTCAATGATTATATTGTGAGTGTATGGAATGCTTGATAGTATCATGCTAAGACTCTTTACTATATTTCGTAGCTTGTATGTACTCAGCGATGTTGATTGCGTGCTTTTGTGTGTTTCTCTTGGTCATGGCCTTCGCCTTCAATGACCCTGTAATGATCCAATTCTTACACTTGTAATATTGGGGAACAGATTAATCACAGGTTTTTGCATAAACTGATTTCAGGGTGATGGGATTTGGGTGGAGCGTCGGTTAATCACTTAGCTTATTTTATATTATAGATTGAATTTTATTTTGGTTCTAATTCCATTTACTTCCTATTTTACTGGATTTTGAATAAAGGTCGTTATGGTTCCAACTTGTAAGACTAAATTGAGTTTTGACTTTTAGTTTTGAAACTTATATTCTTTTTAAAACTAAGTTAGTTTTCCGCTGCTGATTTCTAAAACCAGCCTTCACGTTTGAACACGTGGTGGTAGCACGCCAGTAATTCTCACACATATTATTAAAAGTATTTACAGGTGATTATAGGTTATTACAGGTTAATATAGGTTTTAAAGAGAGATTTATTGGGGTGTTACACCGGACCTGAAAACCAACCTGAACCAGACCTGTTGGGACCAGACCTGATCCGGACCTGTAGATTCAGGTCCGGTCCCGGTCCTTGAAATTCAGGGATTCCGGATCCGGTCTAAAACCAGGGGTTTCAGGTCCGGACCTGAAACCTGGTAAAATTGTGTTTTTAAAAAAAAAAAAAAAAAAAAAGAAATACAGCCTTGTAAACCCTAAAAAAATCATTTCAGTGTTCAGCCGTCACTTCAAACTTAACTCTTCTCCTTCTCCACTTCTCCTTCTCAACTTCTCTAGATAAGCTTTGACATGAACCAATTTCTCTACATTAATCACTCTATTTTTCGCCACTTTTGACCTCTTCTTCGCCCAACCTGTAATGGTTCATGTTAATGTCTCAAAAGTTGTTTCAAGATAAGAGTATATTGAGAATATGGAATCCTTCTATTCGAAAGTTTTTGTTTCTTCCCTCATGTCCTTTGAGTTCCGACCTATTTCATCCATATACATATTTGCTGGGATATCCTTCTTCTGACGATGGAGACAATGATTTTAAGGTGGCTGCCTTTAAATGTCATCCATTGATATCGAGCCCAATGATACAATTGATCGGGTTAAGGAGCGTGTTGAGGAGAAAGAAGGCATTCCTCCTGTTCAACAGAGGTTGATTTATGCCAGAAAACAGAGTCCGATTAGGTCGAATTCGATCAAAATAAGTATCGAAAAGAAGAGGGTTTTGAGCAATGAATTCGTTTGGGCTAAAATGTTAATTTTTTTTTTTTTTTTTTTTTTTTTTACTTGGGATTTTTTTTTCTTGATATTTAGTTTATTTTAAATTTGGTTAAAATTAAAAACAGGTCTTTTCAGGTCCAAACCCGGACCGGACCTGATTTTTCAGGTCTAACCCGGAACCGAACCTGTTGAATCAGGTCCGGTCTCCGGTCCTCAAAATTCACTAATTCAGGTCCCGGTCCCAACAAGTCCGGTCCGGTTTTGGACCGGTGTACAGCCCCAATTTCATCATCAGTCATGACACCATCTGGAAGCTCAATTTGAACAAAGCGACCAATTATACTACCTGAACAAGCACCACCAACATTTAAACCACCCTAATCAGATCCCAAATTAAGAGGTTTCTTAACAAAAGTTTGGCTAATTGCAGACTGTGACAAAGGATATGTAGATGTATCCAATGGTCCCTGCCCTAAACCACGAGCTGTAAGCTCTTAATTAATCCTACTCTTAACCTTAGCATATGTCCAATGTTGAATCAAAGGAAGGCTACAACTTTCCTTTTGTCCTTGAAAGTTTAAATAGTGAAAATACAGAATTTGCAAAGCCAGCAAACATCCATTCACGCTTTGAACAGTTAGATCCTTGTTATACTTATCAACAGACTTTTTTAACTTCCTCAAAACATAAGAACACCAATCAAAGTTTTTATTTCATCAACTTCTTCAACAACCTTTAGCAAGTTCAAAGAAACTGTCCTATTAGGAGTAGGAGTTAAAAAAACTAGACATAGCATGAACAACAAAATACCTCTTAAATGCTACCCCTCCATCAACCAACTCCTGCATCCAAGACTCTAATTTTGCCAAAGGAATAGATTGCTTATCAGAAGCATCAAAATCATATCTCCATGCTTGAATAATACAGTTATCTACACTTGCAACTTCAGCACTTTTGTTGAGTTCAGGAACAAGAATATTACCCATAGGTAAGGAAAACACATCACATACATCATTCTTAGTAACTACAAATTCTTTACCACTAGCAACAGTAAACATGCAGCTACCACCATTAAAGTTTTCAACAAGCCAAGGAAGCATTTTACGACATAGAGTTTGTAATTTTAAATGCAACAAACCGCCAAAACCAACTTCAACAACAGCTTGTTTTTGTTTATCACTTAGGTTCTTCACCAAATTTCCCAAGGTATGTGATCTACACCTTGTCATCAAAGGTCTCTTGACCCTAAATAATTAAAAAAAAAAAAAAAAAAAAAAGTAACTTAAACAATATAGACTACAAACAAAATATAATAAAAAAATGCAAATCAAGAATCATTGAAAACATGTTCTCTTAAAAGAAGTATCAGTATCAGAATCAGAAACCAATTCCAATTGGGAACTCCTCTTTCTCTTCTTTACATCAGGTGCTGTTTTGACATTCTTACGTACTATTTTGACCTTCGTAGGTACTAGATTACCCTTAGCAGACTCTTCAAGTACTGTTTTGACCTTCTTAGGTACTACATTACCCTGAGCAGACTCTTTAGGCATTGCTTTTCCCTTTGAAGGCACTTTATAACGATATCCACCTATAGAACCACATATATCAAATAGTTATGCATAATGATTAATACAAAGTTTTTATGCATATAAATGACCCATATATCACATAGTATTGCTCCTTTTTACTTTGATTTCTAAACACAATGACATGCTGCCTCTGGTTGTCTGATAAGTTTGTATTAATCCTTATAATAATCCTTTGGTATGAGTGTTGTGTGAATATTATGCTAAAACATATACTTATCATATTAAATCACAGATTATATGATAATTCCCTAATCATCCCTATAAATTCTCATACTCTACCTAAAGACCAAGATCAAATCCAATTATCATACTCTGCCTAAAAACTAAGCAAAAAATTCAATTACAAACTCTGAAAATAACATGTACTAGTTATTGGACATATAACAGCACAATTATAAGCAATTTATAAGCAATTAAATACAATAAACAAAAAAGTAAAGCAAACTTAAACACATTAACTTCAAAATTCAATTCCAATTATCATAATCTGCCTAAAAAATAAGCAAAAAATGCAAGAGTAAATTCTGAAAATAACATGCAGTAGTTGTTTGACATAAAACAACACATTTATAAGCAATTTTTAAGCAATTAAATACAATAAAGAAAAAAAAATAAAGCAAAATTAAACACATTAACTTCAAAATTCAATTCCAATTATCATAATTTGCATAAACAATAAGTAAAAAATTCAAGTGCAAACTCTGAAAATTACATGCATTGGTTATTGAACATATAACAACACATTTATAAGCAATTTACATGAAAATTGACTTGAAAATATTGAAAAAAAATCTTGAAAAAATTAAGAATACGAATATACATCATCTGACGATTTATTTTTACTCTTCTTCTTCGCCATTGCAGAATACGAACACTATAAAACAACGAAACCAAAAAAACCAAAAAACCTAAAAATCGAAGAATCAAAACAACTAAAACTAACAAAAATGCTCAAAAAATTAAGTAAACAAACCTGAATTTAGCAAAAACAACTTCACAAGTGAAAGAAAAGAGAGAGAAAAAAAAACTCGAAAATTGCTGCAATAGGAGAGAAGAAAGTAGAACTTCCGTGAGAGGAGAGAGAAAATACAGGAAAAAATTGAAGAAGAGAGAGAAAGTAGTTTGTCTGGATGAGGATGAAAGAGAATAATTTTTTATTTTTAAATTTAAGGCAATTAAAGCCTTGCACGTGTGAAACAAATTAGGAACAAATTTGTTTCCTTTTGCAGCACTGATTTATAAAAGCTTAGTGTAAATTCGGTTTTTTTGAATATTTGTGAATATTTTGTTGTACATTCAATTTTTTTAAATGTTTATCATTCTTTCTAATCTAATTTGAAGTTATTTTTTCCGAAATAAGTAAAAATAAGGTGAATTAAATATGATTTAATAATGGGACAAAAAGGAGTAGATATAGATTTGTACTTTTTCTTTTTTAAAGGTTAATAATAATGGGACAAAAAGCAGTTAGGTGCTCGACACTAAAGGTAAAAAAAAAAAAAAAAAAAGTTTTAAATTTTTTGTGTTTTTTTTCTTTTTTAAAGGTTGACTTGTTTTTGTTTACCACTAAATCAAGACTTTTCATCTCCCCTCTTTCTAATTCTCCTCCGTCTTAACGCGGAATCAGGAATTCATGCCGGAGTTAACCAATTCCCTATCTACGCCGACTTCATTATTTCTACTCCGTACTTTAAACCAAGTTTCAAAAGAACCCTTTAAATCCAAGCATTCAATTTCCAATTCCTCCATTTTCTTTGTCAAAATTTCACAAAGTAACTAAGAAAAAGAGGGAATCATTCCTTCTCAAAGATGGGAACTCCGGCATTCCCAAATCTGGGTAAACATTGTTCCGTTGATGATTGTAAACAGATTGATTTCCTCCCTTTTACCTGTGACCGCTGCGACCAGGTTCCTACTTTCTCTCTTTCTATATTTTAATCTTATAAATTAAATGCGGTTTATTTGAATTGTTTATTGGGTAAATTGATTTAATTGTTATGTAGACGGGATTTGATCCGAGGTCTCGGGTACCACTGCCATGACATATGCATCATTTAAAATTGTTAATTTGTATTTGGATTGTGAAATTGAATGTTTGATATCTTCAAGATTGAATTTTTGATAATGTATTAGAAATCACAGAATTGAATCATTAGGAAACACTATTGAAGTTGGGGCAGAGGGATTTAGTGCAAATTTTGAATTGGGTATATTTTTTATACTAAATTTATTGACTTGGGTATATTTTTTATACTAAATTTATTGAATTGGGTATACTTGTTATACTAAATTTATTTAGTTGGGGATTAATTGTTCAATCTTCGAATTATTCATGGTAATTAGCTGAATGCTGAAGTTAATTTGGGGATTTGGAAGGCCTATTAATCTTTATGAGAGAGATGCTGGATGCTGGCTATGAAATAGGAGCTAGGAACTATGGACATGTAGAATAATAGCCCGTTTCGTATATGGTTATGGAAATCTTGGGATTTTCTGATTATTCAAAATGTATATTGGGGTACATTGTGATAACTAATAGAGTAGAACATTAATTTTGATATCGCAGAACTAGAGATGTATTCAGTGGATATTGATAAAGGACAATTCATGCCAAATTGCACAGAAATTTCAATGACCTTTTCTCAAATTATTAGCTTCAAATAGAGGAGCTGTTAGGGTTGTGAAGAATAATCTAGCTGCTTGAATTTCATATTTATAGGCGGGGTTTTCGGACAGTGGGTACAAGCTAACAAATTGCTTTATATTATATGTACATTCTATAGTTCTATGTGCCCTTGGAAGCAATCTGTTACTTTGAACTAGAATGAATGAAATAGTTATTGGGCTGATACTATATTCTGTGAAGTTGTAAGACAGTTTGTTGAATCTCCTACAACAGTTAAGCGTAAATAGCCTGAATCTCCTACAACAGTTAAGCGTAAATAGCCTCTTCGCATTTAAGTGGTGATGTGGTTGTCATGGCTCTACTTGTCTCAATTCCAAGTGGTGCCCGCCTCTTGTTACAAGCTTGAAAGAAATTGCAAAAGCTTGCATATGTATTGATTAGCTGCTTTGGTATGACATTGTTATGCTAAATGGATAGATCTACACTCTGCAGATAGGCTGTGAAACTTTTTTTCCTTTCTCCTGTAACCTGTAGGATAGTTAAAGGATTTAAGGCTGGTCTGTGCTCTAAACCCCTTGAATTGAACCACATGAAACCAAGTTGGTTCTCAGCTTTCTTCGCTTGGATTGGTCAACATTTAAAGCTCATATCTTGACAGACTTTGGAAAAATAACACATCTGGAATTCCTGATCCCAGTGCTACAATGTATAAGTTTTATGCATTTGGCATGCATGTAGCCGGTACAATTAAGAATTACTGATAATTGGTCCTCCATCTTCTAGGTTTTACCTTGCATCGTAGCCTTTACGTTCATGAGGAAGTGAATATGTGTGTGTTTGTGCTCTAGTTTAACCAGGAATGAAATGCTTTAAGGATTTGTGGTATTGATTGCTTTAAGGATTTGTGGTATTGATTAAGTTAATAAGATGTTGACTTGTTCCTATTATGCTTATTGCATTGTGCTGACTTGTTTGTTGGAGCTGGAGTAGCTGCCTAGTATCTGGATTCCATTTCATGGCCTTCTAAATACCTTAGAGTATGGAACAGCTGTTTGGTCTTATGTTTTGAATCTTGTGATACAACTTGTTTCCTACTTAAATTTCCATTGTTTCCTACTTGAATTTCCATATCACTCGCTACTTGTGCATCAGGGACCAACTAACTGAATTTGTGCCTGTATTCAAGTTTGTTGATGCTCTAATTTCTGTGGAAATACTATGCTTTTTGGGACCAACTATTCGGGATTGTGTATAATCCACTTGAGCAAGGACTGTAAAATCTATGTTTCAGTTGATTTCATCATGATTGGTCCATTGTTTATCAGGAACAGGTGTCTACACTCACTTATTTGTCATTGATACTCACTGCAATGACCTTTATTATTTTGATTATTTTCTCAGGTATATTGCCTTGAGCATAGAAGCTATAAGCAGCACCGATGTCCACATGGTGACAACCAAGGTGTCACTGTTGTCATTTGCCCACTTTGTGCCAAAGGAGTTCGCCTAAAACCTGATGAAGATCCAAATATCACTTGGGAATCTCATGTCAACACCATCTGTGACCCAAAAAATTACGAGAAAGTAACTAAGAAGAGGAAATGCCCTGTTGTTGGTTGTAAGGAAATCCTCGTGTTCTCCAATACTGTCAAATGCAAGGATTGCAGCACTGATCACTGCTTGAAACATCGATTTGGGCCCGACCATAAGTGTCCTGGGCCCCCCAAATCCAACACTGGATTCCCATTCATGGGTCTCTTGACCAGCAGTAGTAGAAAAGAAGTGCCACGGCCTAAAGCTCCAGTCCAATCAACTTCATCAGTATGGTCTCGATTTGTTAATGCAGCTGAAACAGGCATGGCAAAGTTGAGCAATGATTTCAACCAGGTACTTCAGGTAGGCCAAGGTAGTAAAAATAGCTCAAATAGTGGTGGATCAGGTGGACAGGAAGTGTGCCCACAGTGTAACGCGAGGTTTTCATCAGTTACTGCACTTGTGGAGCATGTGCAGAAAGCGCATGAAAAAAGTAATAATTGCATGGGTGTTAGGAAGTCAACAATTGATGCATGCCCTAAATGCAGCAGAGGATTTACTGATCCTGTTGCCCTTGTTGAGCATGTTGAGAAGGAACATGGTGGCACTTCAAGGGCTTGAAAAGGCCATTTCTTTCATTATCTTTGGGTTGATCTGGTCATGTCTGCCTGAGTAGCTGGAAAATTATAATTTAGTGATTTATTCTGTTCTTGGGTGTCCCTTTAGGGCTGGAGAAACCCAGGTCTGCAGATTATTTTTGTACTGATAGCTGAAATATCTCATCAAAATTCTTTTACAAAGTTGAAATGTACATTGAATGCCTGAACGGTCAGATTGAAATTTAGTGTGAATTATACCGTGTTCGAATTTTTCTAGCTGTAAATGAAGTCTGCACTGTTTTATGTCTTCTTAGTTCTTACTTCATAGCCTGTTTATGGTTCTTGGTGGGTGTATGTAGAGATGAACCATGACCTATGATGGCTCTTGAGTTTTCTTTTGTATTCATATTGCAATACCAGATTACCAAGTTCTCAATATCCTTCTTTAGTTCTTTATAGTCATCTTTTTCCTCTCTGATATTAGGTTTTGATCTATTTTAAATGAAGTACACCTGGTTTTGGAAGTCCTATCCTAGATCGCTTCATCTTAACCCCATGATTTCTTCTGAAGGAAATTAGGTGTAGCCAATTACACGGTCTTCGAGATGCAAGAACAAAATCCTTTCAACCCTTCTGAAGCCCAGAATACAAGCGCACAAAACAACACTTGAACCAAATCTGATGCCTAAATCAATAAGATACACCCTCAAGCTTCATTTGATTAAAAAAAGACCTAAACATGCAGCTAAAAATATAATGATTCGGTTTTGACAACATCTCTGGAGCATAAGTTATAGGACCTTTATCAACATCATAGACGATAAATCAATAATATCAATACTTGTTCACCATTAAAAAACTTAGAAGAGTAGCACTTATATAAACCTCAAAAAGAGTACAAATCCAGCATAGAAACAAAACTGCAAGATGAGTTGGTGTCTTTCTAGCAATTTGGACATGACATTAAGCAACCAAAAACATCATTAATAAACCTATTAACTCAAATCACCTAAAAAAAGTTTGTTTGCTCATCTAGGAAAAGCTTAGGCTTCAACCCTCTCATCTTCAATTAAGGAGATCTTGGCAGTTGGCTTTGAGAGGAAATCAGTGTGCTCCTGGAATGGAGACTTGGTGAAGCGAGTCTCTTTCCATAGATCAGGGGTCAGGAAACTGTAGGTCTTCAACAGACAGTCGAAGGTGGCCTGCAAAAGCATAACACGTTAAGCTATTTACAGAGCATAATGCATTACAGACTTACAAACATGTATTACTCCATACAAACCAGCATTGGAAGACGATAACAAGATACAGGATGAAATTTTGGAGCTAGACATCATACTGATATAACTCAAGTCACAGAAACCATGATTTACTGAAATCGTAACAGGATTCAGCAATTGATAACAAAATGAATCATCTACAAAGGGATCATCTTAAACAATGAGAAGAGTACTGAGTATGAGGTTAAAAATTTCATTGCATCCAAAACTTACCCTGATCCATAAAAGAAGCAATCAAGACAAGTTCAAACCCATTAAACATATACGCCTCAGACTAGTTTACAAGAAAAATCGCATGTTAATGCCTCAGATGGTCCACTACAACTTCAGTCCAATACCATGATTTCATAATGCATAAACCACACACAAATGAATCACAGTCCCTAATGAAATATCACAAACAATGACAACAAATTGACAAGAAAATATTGCAGGGCAGTAGTACAGCATGAGAAAAATGACTGCAAAAGAATACTAACCTTTCAACAAATAATCTAAAAACTAAACTAGATAAATAAAAATAACATTGTTAGAAATCAATACAATACACATTAAACATAGTTATCATTCCTATATTCCTTAAAACAATGTACCAAAAAATGACCTAACAATAAAATTTAGCTTTTTGGCGAATTCGATCACTTTCACCTACCAAAAATACACCACAATAGATCAAACTTATTGCAAACCATAATTCACATTCACATATCATATTATAAATCATTTTAAACATAATCATATTTAACAGATCAATTATAAACCATTTTGAAAAAGAAAAACAAAATCAAACAATAAAACATTAACAAAAAAATAAAATCACAATCGCAATTACAAATCTAACAATAATAATCCAAAAAATAAGACATTAATCAAATTAAGAAAAAAATAATAAGCAATGAAATTATACCTTAACAAAGTTACCAAGAGTCTTGGTAGATCCACGAGAAGAAGTAAAAACATCTTCAATCCCAGCAAACTGAAGAACCTTCTTAGGAACCCTAGCAGCAACAATCCCAGCACCACGAGGAGCAGGAACCATCCTAACAGTTACAGACCCACATTTCCCGGTAACCTTACACGGTACCGTATGTGGTTTCCCAATCTTATTCCCCCAGAAACCTCTTCTAACCGGAATCACACTCAACTTGGCCAATATAATCGCGCCACGAATAGCCGTCGCAACTTCCTTAGAACACTTAACACCAAGCCCAACATGACCGTTACCATCACCGACCACAACAAAGGCCTTGAACCGGGTCCTCTGTCCGGCCCGAGTCTGCTTCTGAACCGGCATGATCTTCATCACCTCATCCTTCAAGCTTCCGAGGAGTTCGTCGACGATTTGGTGCTCTTTGATGGGAAGAGAATGGAGGTAGATTTGTTCGAGAGAAGTGATGCGTTTGTCTTTGACGAGACGACCGAGTTTGGTGACGGGAACCCATTTTTCTTCCTCGTCACGACGGCCGGCGCGACGGCGACCACCTCGACCACGGTCGCCGCGAGGAGGGCCACCGCGTCCGCCGAAGCCGCGGCTGAATCCGCCTCGTTCTCCGCCTCGTTCTGCCATTGTTAGGGTTTTGGGGGTGGGAGTGAGTGGTAAGGGAGTTTAGGGTTTCAGAGAGAAAGGGGGCGATAAGAGGGAAATGAAGGGGGGATTGTGGGTTTATATATGAAGGTGGGAATTAGGGTTTATTTGGTGGGAATGTGAGACAGAGTTTTAGGGGGGTTTGGGCCTTTTTTATTTTTAAGGGTTGATTTTTGGGCTGCTTCGTTTTAGTTTGTTGAGATAAATAATGTAGTGTCTTGATTAATGAAGATGAGATGAGCCTTATTTACAAGACAAGATGAAATAGATAAGAAGGGGTCTGACCGTCTAAAGATTGTTAAACGTGAACAACGCTCCCATTTTACAAGGCATCGCTCCCATTTTGATATGAAAGGACGATATTGTTCTTTGTGTAAGTTGGACTATATAATGGTCCATTTTGAGACACATGGGCATTTTAATATTATTCCGACCCCTCCACATAGTACCACGTGGTTAAAAAAATTCCCGAGCCCACCACATCCGACCCCACAACATCCAACCCCACCACATTCGATCCATCACCAAAAATCCGATTTTTTTATTAAGCTTTAGCGACAGGTTTAGGACGATGGACGACGACAACGATCGTACACCGACGGCATCGTCGGAGGATTTTGTAAGTTCTCGTACTTTTTTTTATTTTTTGAAATGAAAACATTCGCCTAACATATCCTAAACCACCTTGGTGGATCGCTTAAAATTTCCGGATCCACCAAGGTAGATCCGGAAATTTTGGACAGATGTCTTTTTTTTTTGGTATTGTATTGATTAATTAATCAATTTTAATTTTTTTTTTGAAACCAAATCAAATTATTAATGTAATCTTTGTATTATTATTATAAATTTTATTGTGATTATTATTGTTTTTGTGATAATTTATTAGTTAATGTTGGTTTATTTATTATTTGCTTATTATTAGTGTTTTAAATATATTATTGTTATCAATCTTATGATTTAACCCGTGATTAGTGATATTATAGTATTTATATTGTTTTATAAATATCTTTATTAATATTATAATAAAAAAAATATTGGAGAATTTTGTGTGTTCCCTTTTATTTTTATAGGATTTGGAGTCTGAAGACGGCGGTGATGGTGTGAATTATAGTGTGAATTTTGTCTCAGACACGTTATTTCCAACGTTTGATGATGCAGTTAAATGGGCGGATGCTGTTTTGATAAGTCGTATTTTGTGTATATTAATTAGCTTGTTTTTAGTTGGTTTTGTTAGCTTTGTTGAGTGTTTTGGTCTATTTTGATGCGATTTGGTTTAGTTTCGATGATTCGATGCTTTTATGGGTAGTTTCGTTGTTTTTGATGTATTTCAGGAATAATGGAGCTAATTTGGATATGTTACGAAGCCATGAAGCTAAACCGAGGCCCACGAACCTTCACGAAGCTTGATGATTGAAGAAAGAATGATTTAGGGCTTTTTGGAGCAAGGCACGACCGTGCCTAGCTAAGGCACGTCCGTGCCTCCAAGTCAGTATACTCATCAAATTGCTTCGACATTAGGCACGTCCGTGCCTATAAGCGTATTCAAAGACCAGCGCAGGCACGTCCGTGTCTGGAAGTCAGAAGCTACCCAAGTTTATGCACGCAGGTAGGCACGTCCGTGCCTATGAGGAGGCACGTCCTGGGATTCTTGTGCACCAAGCCTTTTGCCAATTTTCTTATCTTTTCTAGGCTTATATTTACACTAAGTGGTGTTTTATTATTTTCATGAAGTTTTATTCTAGCCTTTTATTTTACGTTATTAAGAACTAGTTCTCTCTATTTTATTTTCTTTATTTTTGTAATTCAAGATTCAAGATTTACACTTTCCGCCTTCAATTCAATTCAAGATTCGGTATTTTCTTTTAATCTCTTGTTTCTTAATTATGTTTTCTTCAATTATTTTTGTTATTGTTTCCTTCAATATGTGTGAGTAGAATTCCTATTCCAAGATCTAGGTAGCCCAATTATGATTGATGCATGAATTAAATCTTTAAATTCTCTAATGACTTTTGCAATTGCTATGCTAAATTGATTGTGATCATGCCAATACTAGGTTAGACGTAATTTAGTATTGCGATTATTCCATTGTTTCTATCACAACGAGAGTTGGGTTTAAACGGATTTGAGTAGATCAATTTAGGGTTTGATATTCAACACGAGAGTAGTTGGGTTTGATAATTGGGAAGTTAGAATAATGTGTTCAATGTTTCTAATATGCATGATACCATGAGAATAGGCTTGATTGTATGTTAGGGAAGCCATTGATACTCGAGAGAGGTCTTTGGTATTTATTAGGGTTTACTTTTCCCCGTTCAATTGGAATTGTATGTTAGGGGTAGAAATATAATTGCATCAAATGTAATTGTGGTGATACTAGATCTTAGATG